ATGTTGTCCTTTTTCACTGTAGTCAATTTTTTTTTTTTTTTTTTTTTTTTTTTTTTGTCTTTTTCCGTGTCCGGCAACGGATCGCAACCCTCAGTGTTGCCCCCGTACCGGACCGGGACCGGCAACGGGATTGCAACCCTCGGCGTTGCTCCCGCGCCTCGCTCAGCCAGTGAGCGGGAACCGGTCTGTATGTGGGATCCGAACCCTCAGGTGGGAGCACCGCCGCGCTTCCCAAGCGGCACACTATCCAGTGCGCCACCGGGCCGGCCCTGCAGTCAATTTTTAAATAGTTCTACTGGCATCTATTTAGTGCTGTTAGATAACAAACTAATATTAAAATTGAATCACCTAAAGATCCTTCCCTCAGAAGTTCAGTATACTCCAGTGCCCTTGAGTTTCATTTAACCAAACATATTTAACCTGAAAAAAATCCTGTGGGAAGAAGTATGGCTTAATGATTAAGCACATGGGCTTTGGATTCAGATACATTTAGGTTCGAATGCTTAACCAGAAAGGTGACTTTGGGCAACTTAAGTTAACACTCTAAACTCCTTCAGTTTCCTCTACCTCTACAATGGTGCAATATACCTACATTTCAGTAGTATTGGGTAGATTAAGTTGTATAAGGTATGTGAAGAACCTCATAATGCCTAATTCATGGTAAATTTTCAATACCTAGTAGGTGTATTTCCATGTAATTTCCTTTCTGATGAAAAAACATCTCAAAATTTCTATATAATTATTCAGATACTTTGCAAAAAGATGGAAATTGGTCATATTCAAATAACTCAGCTGCCAATGATTAAACCTCAGTTGCCAAATAGTTATTTAATGGAATTTTGCTTGTTCTTTTGTCAGTCTAAACAGTTAACATCTAAACTGTTTAGATTTTAGTAAATTCTTTTAAAGCATTTAAGCATGCATGAAAGTATCAGCCTCAAATTTTCATAGGAATGTGTGTCTGTGGAATACACTTAAACTGGTGTATTTATATACAGGTATCTGAATTCTTTTAGACTAACTTTGGGAGCAAAAGATGTCTAGAATGAAAGTCAGTAGTAATTAGAAAATTGAGGGAGGTGAGTGATGTAGAAAAAGGTAAAGATGATATAAAGTTTCAAGTCATCATAACATTTTGTATGACTTAAGATTTTTTTAAGTAGCTGTGACCTATATTTTAGCTTTCCGGAGCTGAGGCAAAAAGTTAAGTAACATTAAGAATAACTAATAGTGTATTTAAAATTGTGTTTCCAAAAATATGGTGACTTCTGCTCTGTCTCATTATCTGTATGCAGTTAGTGCTTGCAGATAAAATAAGGATTGATGGCTATATTTCCTAAAAACAGAAGTAGAGTGCTCAAGGAGGTGACTTAGTAGATTGTGCTTTGTAGCATTATAGGAGAGTACATTTCTCACTTTAGAAAGTTAAGACTTTTCAAAATAAAAACATAAGACCTAGAAAAGTAAAGTCAGTAAAATTATTAATTTTATATACAGGGTGAACTTAGACGTCAAAGCTTATACTTTGTCCACCAACGTATATTCAGTACCTAGAACAGTTCCTGGCAGCTAGTAGTTGATCAATGGTTCTTTGTTTTTGAATGAAAGAGAAAAAAACCTATAATATTAACACTAGGTAAAGCAGTATTCTTTGAAACTTGTTCCATAACTACCTGTTAAGTGTTTATGTGATTTAGAATAGATTAAATGAAGGCTACCCCTAAACAGCAGTTCAAAACAGATGACTTGATAGTCTCATGTCTTGGTAAATTTGTTAAAATGTTTTGACTTTAAACATCTGAAACTTCACATTTGACTCAACTGCATAAAATAAACAGACTTTTAAAAACCTTTAAACTTTTTAAAAATGTCTCTATATTAATAGTTGACTTGCCTAGAAAGAGGTGTATATTGTTTATTTGGAATGTGTACTGTAATATTCCATGTGTGGAGATTTTACAAGAGTTCTAAAAATATATAATAATGCTTGTAAGAAGACAATAAAGTCACTGAATAATGATTAGCTATCTTTGAAGTATATATACCATTGGGCTTTTAAACGGAAATAGGCAAAGATAAAGGATAACAAAATTCTTCAAAATTGATGTTTTACTCACAATAATATAAACAGCATTGCTATCCCAGGATATGAAGCTTAACTTTTAGGCATAACATATGTTTGTGTGATGAAATATTTTTCACTAAAGAAAGTTAACAGGAGAGGGCAAGTATTTGGAAATAAAACACAAGAAAAAGCAAGCCTTTAATAGATCACCATTTTTTGTCCACAGTCAGAAAATGTACAATATATATATATATTGTATATATATTGTATATATATATATATATGTATGTATATTTGAAAGTGCATGGTTGTATTTTTCTTTTCTGCTGCCATCAGATATTCTTTAATTAATAAAATTAGAATCTTCTTCCTGGCTTTGCGTTATTTCTTCTGCTGTCATCTTGACCATGTCATATTTCTGTCATCCGTGGAAACTCCAGTAGCCCATGATGAATATTTCAGGACCAGGAGGAATACCTTTGAGTGACATATAGGCAGCTTCCCTCTTTATGTCTTGCCGACTCATTTGCTTGACTAAGCCATTCCCATCCAGCTAAAACTGGGAAAACTACTTTAAATGCAGATGCCCTTTGGTAACATCTAATCTTTTTCTGTTTCCCTTTTTCTCCGTTTAATCAAGATAGAAGAGGAATGAGACCAGTCGATTACAGCTACAACTTTAACATCCTTAACCCACTCCTTAGTTCTGCTTCTTGGTGTGCATTGCAGTTCTTTCTGGCTAGTTGCCTACTTAAAAGCCAGATAAATGTGCTTCTTTTTTATTATATCTAGCTTTGACCTTCCTTTTCAAATTTGTCCAGTAAGTTTAACTGCTTTTTCTATGTTATATTTTCTTTCTCTTCTAGGTCTTATTTGTGGCTGGTTTGGCTTTTGTAATTGGTTTAGAAAGAACATTCCGATTCTTCTTCCAAAAACAGAAAATGAAAGCTACAGGATTTTTCCTGGGTGGTGTATTTGTAGTCCTTATTGGTTGGCCTTTGATAGGCATGATCTTCGAAATTTATGGGTTTTTTCTCTTGTTCAGGTAAGGCAATCATTTTGTTTCCTCTTTCAATAAACTAGTGTGCCAGATAATTATTATAAAAACATTTACATTGGTGTAAGAAGATGATAGTTTCCCTAAATGGGTTTTTGTTTAGATTGAATCTTTTATTACGGTTTTAGATTAATCAACTCTAAAAGTGTTTTTATCAACTGTAACTGATTGCCTAAGTAAGGATATAAATTATCTTGTAAAGTATTTTTTATGCAATAAAATTAATTTTATTGGCATTTTAAGGCATTATCTTTATGTTTGATATTTTCATCAACTAAACAGTCGGTGATATATAAATAGAAAGATAGATCAATCCAGCATTTTAGTATGTGGAACCTGATACTTCATAGTTACTGCCAATTGATGTCAATTTGTTTAGTACATATACATATTAGAAAATTCTGTACCAAATACACTGTAGGAGATTTGATTAGTTAATATTTTGCAAATGCCATTTAACAAGTAAATAAACAATAGTATGAATGTGAGAAAATACCTTTAAGTAGGTTGGTCTTAATTATTTATTCAAGAAATGTATATGTTTTGTCTTCTACATACCAGGGACTGTATTACCTACAGGAGACATAAAAATGAATTAAGTGCCAAATCTACTTTAGGGAATCTCATTTCTTACGTGGGAAATAGACTGTAAAGATACTAGTAGGATATAGTCATAATGCCATTATAGATGTATATGCAAAATATTATAGGAGCATAATTAGGGAAGGAATTAATAAATCCAGGGAGAGGTGTAAGGAATGTTAACTGACAAACTGGACTTTAAAGAATGGGTATTCATCCTATAAATGAGGAAGGCAAGGACAGTTAACTGGACAGAAGGGGCAGACATGATCATGAAAGTATACAGCTTGTTCTGAAAAGAATAGTCTGATAGAACAGGAGCATGGGATAAATGAAAGGAGATTAATGATGAGGAGACTGAAAAGAAATTTCGGGGCCAGGATGCAAACTTTCTCTGAATGACTTGTTGAGAAAAGTACACTTTATTCTGTAACCTGGGGAGCAGTGTGTGGGGGAGGGGGGCCTGCAAAGACTTTTAATCCAGAAGGGATAGAGCCAGATAAGTGTTTTTAAAAGATTGTTTCAATATCAGGGTAAAATGTGTACTGAAAAGAGAAAAACTGAAGGCAGGGAAGCCAGTAAAGAGGCTATTGATACAATACAGAGTATGGAGTGATAAGATTGGGATCTTTGGACCACTCTTGACATTTTAGGTTGGTGGGTGGAGGAAGAGAAGGGAATACTGGAAGACACTGAGAGATGAGGTCAGAGAAGAACGAGGAGTAAGGACCATAGTGGCTGAGGGAGGAGAGAGTAAGGAAGAGCAGCTCATCATGGCAAGTGTATCTTGCTGCAGAAAACTTCAGTACTTTAAGGACTGAAGAGAAAATCATTGGCTTTCTTAATTATACAGGAATTTTGGTAATGAAGGGTAAAAGTCAAAGCTGATTTTTGAGATTAATAAAGAATGGGAATTTGTAACATCGTTGATAAACTTGGAATAATACATTGGCTTCATGATTTAGAAAAATTTCTGGTACAAATCCTGGTTTTTGTTGTTGGGTTTTGTTATGTTCTGAAATAGTCTTACTTTGAGGTATAGGGCCAAGGGACTTTTTCTAGATATTTATAATCATAAATAAATAGTATTTTAAATCACATGTTTGTATATTTAAAAAAATACTTAAAACAAAAAAATCATTCTGAATTTTTTTTTCCTCTTTCATTTTTTGCTAGCTTTTTAATATTTTTTTCACCTTTTTTTCCCCCTTTGGGTGGCTGGCCAGTACAGGGATCTGAATCTGTGACCTTGTTGTTATAAGGCTGTGCTCTAATCAACTGAGCTAACACGCCTGCTGAATTTAGTACTACTAGAAAACAATTGATTGTCTTTGAAACATGTACATGTACCATCAACATGAGAACTGTTTCTCTAATTTAAAAAATCTTGCTTTCTATTTAATTCTTTTAGTTCATATATTTTTACTTCCTGTAGATTCATAATTGAATCTTACTGCTTAATTCCTGAATTCTATACATTGTCATATTTCCATCCCTATATGCCTAATTTTAAGACTTAGAGAAGGTTTATTTTCTGTACATTTTTTAAGTAAACGTTTTTTCTCTTCCTGTAGAGAGGTGGCTTAACTGATCCACAATTAATTCTTAGTTAGAAGCTGTATAACTTTTGTGGGTCTGTAATTCTGCCACAATAATGAGACATAATGTGAGGATTTCCATCTGGCATGTAGCCTCTCAATGTTAACTAAGTGTTGGCACTTAGTATTTATTCAGTAAATGATAGGAATTATTATTTTCATGGTACCACACATACAGTCTCTATGGCTCCTTTGTTTTGATCAATTTCATCTCACACAACTCACCACAGTTGAGGAAATCTTCAGCAGTTGAGTTGCGATAACTCATAATCTGAGCATAATCTAATCACAGCTAGGCCTCATTGCACTCTTCTTACATTTTTACCAGTAATCACAAAATTTTAAATTATGTTTATAATAATTCATAAATCTAAGTTTGAAGTCTCTAAAGCATTCAAAATTTTAACAGGATTCTTTATTTTTACTTGGTTAGCAATTGATTTTGGTAAAAGGAAGTGTGGAAATTTTAAGAACCTCTTTTTCCCTCTCTCAGGGGCTTCTTTCCTGTGGTCGTTGGTTTTATTAGAAGAGTGCCAATCCTTGGATCCCTCCTAAATTTACCTGGAATTAGATCAGTAAGTAATCATGTATTTAGCAGTATATTTTTTAAATCATCAAAGTAAATATTGTTTGATGCTTTTTACTTCTAGAAATTTGAGTAATTGATACATGATTGAGTAACTGATACATGATTGAATAATTGATGACTTTATTATGATATGGTTATATCACATAGATCATGGTTAACATGAAAATCAGAAAATGATCATTACTAAACCTATAAAACCTGAAATTTAATTTTACCATATCCGTTTTTAATATTGTTCTCTATTTTTTGATGTTACTCAGAGTGATATGCTATGCTACCTTTCTCTTTGAGAATTCAAGGCATTTTTAAATTAACTTTTATATAATCTTTTTTATAATCTCTAATTTTTTTTTTTTTTGTCCTTTTTAAGACTGGCCGCACTGCGCTCAGCCAGTGAGCTCACCGGCCATCCCTATATGGGATCCGAACCCGCGGCGGGAGCGCTGCTGCGCTCCCAGCACTGCACTCTCCCGAGTGCGCCACGGGCTCGGCCCAATATAATCTCTAATTTTAGAAGCAGTAATATAAACATGAAACCATTATTTCTTGCAAATATTTTTTTTCTCAGATTGTATCACCAAATGGAGTGGATTAAGACAGTTAAAATACCATTATACTAGGAGTCAGATGATAAGATTCTGTTCCCAGCGCTGTCCACAGTTTGAACAATTTTGTCAAATCTGTTTCTCTAGAGTGAACCTTGGTTTCTCCCTTGATAAAATAAAGTGAATCAAATCAGATAACAAACAAAGGTTAAAGAAAACATTTTTAAAATTGATAAGTAAACTTTTTTTTTTGGCAGCTGGCCAATATGGGGATCCAAACCCTTGACCTGAGTGTTATCAGCACCACACTCTAACCAAGTGAGCTAACTGGCCAGCCCCAAGTGAACGTTCAATATTCATTCAGCAAATATTTGGTACTAAACTGCTAGCCTGAAGATTGTAACATCTCTTAGTAGAGGTTCAGAAGGCTTTTCAGGATTCAACTTAGTTATTGCCTCCTTTAAGAAAGCTTTCCTGACTCCCTGTGGCTGGCTTGGGATGTGCTTCTAGAGTACCTTGTGAACAGCTCTGTCATAGCATTTACCTCTGTTTTAATTGTCAAGAAAAAGACTCCCACATGAAACTTTACAGTCCTTGAGGGCAAAGACACACTATACTTTAGTCACTGTTCTGCTGCCAGTTCCCAGCATAATACCTGGCATATGATGGAAACTCAACATTTTCACAAAATGAATGAATGCAGAATGGCATTTCATTGTCCTCACGGAACTTGGTCAATTTCAAGACAACTCCAGGTGACTTACTATTTGCCTACCTCCTTAAGTTTCAAAATTAAATGAAATCCTTAAATTCTAAAAGAATTGGGATAATTTGAAATTCAGCTGAGTTGGACTGACCCATGTCAGAAGTAACCCTGGTACATATCCTTCTTTGGATCATTTTCATAGTTCCAAGTCTATCCTGAACAACTAGGATAAACTCGCTTTAAAGGTAAATTTAAAAGACTACAAGTTCTGTTTAGGTGAAGAGAGTTCATCAACTTCCTAAAGCTGTTTACAGATTTTTATAGATGTTTTCAGGAGAGAAGGTCTGTAGCATTTATTGAATTCTCAAAGAGCTAAAGGATGGCTTACCCACAGAAAAATAAATACCACTATAAGCCTAATCCCATTTCCATCCCCAGGTTAATTTTAGAGTCAGAACCTTATAACTAAGACAACCTGGATATTTGCAGTTACCTTTGGAAAGAAAATATTGTGCTTTCTCTCCACTTAAATTTACCTTAAAAATCTAATAAATCCATGAAGAGTGTGCCAGTCACCTATTTGTGATAACATAAAATATTGGAACCTAGGCTTATAGGGGTATATCCTGATTTCACATGCATTAAACTCCAAACTCATACAGTAGTCAATGTTGTTTATACTTCGAATGGCTTTTGAATTTACTGAAACGTCTGCTCATAGAGTTATTAATCATTATTTATATCCTTAGTTTGAGGATTTTGTGGTATTTGCATAAATGGACACCCAATATAATAGATTGTGTTTTCTATCACTATTACTTCATTTTAGTAAATGCTAAAGTAAAAATGTGAATTGTGAAATGAAAGAAATGGTTAGATGATTGCTAAAATTTGATAGTATAACCACTGAGTGGTTTTAACTTTTAATGTCTCTACTAATTTTAGACTTTGTTTCAATCTTTATATCACCTTCTGGAATGCTGAAGAAAGCCAAACTACTTCTTATTTGGGGTGGAGTAACCAAAGTAAATAACCACTTACATTATGTGTGTTAAAATTTATATTCAATGACTATAAATTTATACTTACATCATTAAATCTATTTTTAATTTCATTGCCACTTTCAGTCTAAAGTCCAGAATTCACAATTTAAAGTATTTTTAGTCAATAGCTGTTGTTAATTATTGAACTTAATGGAGTTAAATCTGTTTGTTCAAAGACTACGTAGGCCCAGAAGAGATCCACAGTAATGGTCAGTTGAAATATCTCATTGGGGTTCTTTAATGCATGAATGGCTGACATTTCAGTTTTTAATTGTTTTATTTTTTGTTAAGCTAGCAGTGTTAGCTTCATTTTATGCAATTTTTTTTGTTCATTGTGTTGCATTTTCCATGTTGCACCCTTAAATTCATATGTATAACATGTCGTGCAAAAAAACTTTTAGAAAAAAAAATGTATATGGGTTTACATGTCAGAAGATGGTGGTGAGTAGTATTGGATTAAACATTGTCAATCATACCTTAAATTTCCACGAATCTTTTTGTAAAGTTGAGTTTTTTAATCAGCATTTAAAATGTTGATATAATGGTTCATAATGCTACATAGGCTTTCTTTAATTATCTGTTTTTCTTCTCGTTACAGTTCGTAGATAAAGTTGGAGAAAGCAACAATATGGTATAACAACAAGTGAATTTGAAGACTCATTTAAAATATTGTATTATTTATAAAATCCTTTGAAGAATATTCAGCACAAAATTAAATTACATGAAATAGCTCATAATGTTCTTTACAGAAGTTTAAGATGTACAGTTTACAGAGTACCAACATCAATTAGCAAAGAAGCAATGAGAACAGGCTGCTAATCAGATGATCTAAGAAGTCAGCAAGCAAACTAAGGGAGATGAAATCCATGTACAATGCATATTGAAACTCTTGAACGCTATTTTTATTGTTTTTCTACAATGTGTGAAAAACAGCCATCCTTAGAGAACTGTGGTGCCCATTTTGTTTTTGTTTAGGGTTTTTTTTTTTTTTTGTAGGTTCAGGAGCACTCATAGGCATTTACTTTTTAGAAATGTCCCCTGCAATGGCAAAAATATTTTTAGTTGCATTATGTCTCTGAAAGTGATGCATGGGTTGGATTGAATTATGTCATTTTAATGTATTAAAACCAACGAAAACCCAGTTTTGATGTATGAATCGCTTTTTTTTTTTTTTTGTAAACATGTGGTTAAAATAAAACTTAAATGTGATTCTTCTGAATCTGAATAATTTAAAGCCAGATGAAAACCTAAACTAGATATTCTTTATTTGAATATACAAAGGTTGTTCTTTACTAGCTTTTAGTTCCTAAATTATAGCTGACTAAGCACTTTTTTGGTCAGTAACACACTCTGGAAATACTCATTCTTCTTGAGAGTTTGACCACCTAAGTATCTGTATCATTCATTATGTGTAAGCATTTAACAAAAAGCATTCTTGACCATGAACTAGTCTGTTACACAGCTTGTCTCATTGAATAGTCTTTTACTTAAGATACTAAATGATGCAAACAAGTGGATTTTTCCACATTATGATGTGGGGTTTTTTTCTTTTTTTAATTTTAGCATGGTTTATTATTTTGTTTTTTATCAATTAAAATAATTTTTGGTAATGTTTACTTTAAGACATGTAACGTTAAAAGGTTAAACTTATGACTATTTTTTAAGGGCTATTCATTTACTCTGAGTTTTCCCTTATCTTCAGCTTTTTAATAACATACAAAAATCAACATGTATGACATATGCTTCATATGATCACTCTTCATCTTGAGTTAATGGAGAAATACCTGAGTTCACATACTAAAGTTATTTTACTGTAATTAATTAAACTGGCTATATTTTCTTAACATGACACTAAAAAATAATGGAATTTTTTTTTTTTGCTGTTGCCGATTGACAGACAGTAGGAAACAGCAGTTGTTTCTTCTTTAGTTTTCCAAGGTGGCAGCTTTTGTGGTAGATGTAGGAACACATTTCAACAGCCACAGTACTATTTGTTTTACCACTAATAATTGCACTATTTTTTTTAACAGTTGCAAAGCTTTTTAATACATAAAATCATAATTGAAATTTGCAGGTTTTATTTACAAGCATGTCTACAAAATATATTATAGCTTTGTTGTTTTTAATTAAATCTCTTGATGCACAGAGAACTCCCAACCTTGTTTGTCTAAAGAAGGAAAGACTTGGTATATAGTGTAAAGGTTCAGTCTTGTGGATTACTGTCTTTTTTGGTACTGGCATTTGACTTATGATGTAATCTGTGAAAATGCGATAATATTGACAAATGGAGACTCCTACCTCAATAGTTCATGGATTAATAAAAGAACTAGTGTTGTGTTTAATGTTCTTCAAAAAAGTAATATCCTCACTTGGAGAGTGTCAAATATATAAAATTTGAGGATTGACTTACGTAAGGTGCCCTGTAGGTCTCTGTTATACATATTTTTGACTGATGCATATTATTTACAGTAGCTAGATAAGTCTACCTTCTTAGAACAGGAACAATATCTGTTAATGGAAGGAACTTCTGTATTATTTAACTCCTTTGTAGACATGAATTTCTATCAAAATGTTCTTTGCACTGTAGCAGAGATCCCTTTTTCAACAGTCTTATTTCAGAAAGCATTATTGGACTGAAAAGGATTTGATAATCTCCAAGTCCTTAGTAAGACTGAGAGTCTAGAAGAGTTTTCAGTTTTAAATGAATCTACAGTTAATATCAAGTGTGAGTTTGGGACTGCTTGGCAGCATTATATACTTCTTATTCAGAACCCTTGATGAGGCTCTGTTTTTAAATATACTAGTCTTTGACAGAAAGCACTATACATCCCATTGTTTCTTCCTTTCTAAAATCAGCCTTCTGTCTTTGACAAAGTGTACTTTGATTATTTCTATATAGAGATGGAGAAAAAGTTCTAATACTACTTAGCCTTAAGTGTTTCTGTCGTTGTTCAAATGTATTTTCTGTAACAGAAACATATTTGGAATGTTTTTCTTTTCCCCTTATAAATTGTAATTTCTGGAGTACTGCTGCTTTAAGAAGTCTCAAGGTCAGATTATATGATCTAACAATTGAATATTGTAAATACACTTGTCTTACCTCTCAATAAAAGGGTACTTTTCTATTAATTGGTGGTCAAGTGTATCTTTATTATTATATTCTAAAGTAAAAACAACCCATCTCATTTTTAAAAAATTAGACATATGCAATTTTCTTATTTATAAAATGCTCTTCACATCTTTCATTTCCCAGTTGTTTAGATGTAATCATAAATACAAATAGATTTCAAGTAAGCAAAAAAAAGTCTTAATTTTGAAAACTATAAAAAGAATGACACTTGTCTATGGCAATGTGCTATTTTTAAAAAATCAGACTTTAAGGTTTACTAACTATTTGGTTATTCAATAAACATTTTCTGAGTACCTCTTGAGCACTAAAAGTTTTGTGCTAAAAGTTTTATAGAAGACCCAGGAGAGTAAAATGTGGCACCTTACTGTGGAGAGTTTGTAACATTAACATTACTTGTAAATTCTCAGACTTCCAAATAACTTGTCCTGAGTTGTACTGTAAACAAATGATGGTAGAATAATTTGTGGTCCAGATATTTTAACTTCTTATTTTCCCCCAGTCAAGAGTTAATTAGGACTATTCAGACTTCATCTGTGTGATCGATTTACATTTTCAGAAGGTGTCTTTGGAGGAAAAAAGTGACATCAGCTTTAACTCTGGGAGTTATGTCTCAAGATGTCATTTCTTTTGTAACTATATCTATATTCAACCTTTGTATTTTTGTTTTTTTTGGAAGAGAATTTTTTAACCTTAAGCCTAGCAGTTCAGAACTGTCACTGCTATTTGATATCCTGAAGCCTGCTATAGAATTTTTATTGCTACAGGAAGTTGAGACGGTTTACTGAAAGTGCTGTGATTACCATCATTAACTGCAAAATTTAGAAAGTATGCAGTGAATTTAGAAAGTAGTGGAGAAATGTTTAAGTATCTTTTCTCAATATGTCAGGAATATAATCCTTAAGCATTTGTGAGTTAAATAAAACCACTTAACATTTGCAGTGTTTTGATCATAAATTTTGTTAAGTCTAGAAAAACTACTGGCCAGTTCTACCACTTAAGGTACTCAGTAATTACTGTTGAATTTGATAATTAAACTACAAGTCTTGACTATTGTAAGTTGAAATAGAAGTCTTGAATCTGTTACTAAATATCCAGCATATCTTTCCTTGTCCTGGGCTGAAAAGTTTCAGCCTCTGCCCTTTTGCTACCTGTGTCCACCTAGAGGATTGGACACAGAAGTAGCACATCTGCCCACAACCAGTCCAGCGACAGCCACCAAGCCACTGCTGCTAGCACCCTGTGCTCCCAAGCTGAGGCATCAGGGGGCCTAGAGCCTTGGCCATGCCCCCTGACACCCACAACCAGCCCAACGATGACCACCAATCTGCCACTGGAAACACCCTGGGCTCCCGAGCTGGGGTAGTGGGGGACCAAGGGCTTCAGTCACATCCCACTGACATCTGCATCCAGCCCAGCAATGACCGACTAAGCCACCACTGGGAGCCCCCTGGTCTCCCTTGCAGGAATGAGGGGGGTGCCACGGGCCTCAACCATCACCCTCCATCTACCCCTCCCCACCAACTGCTCTGCAACAGTATCTTAGAATGTAAAAAATAATAATAAATAAACTTTAAAAAATAGGAAAAAAAAAAAAAAAGAAAGGAAAGCAATCTGACCAAAAAGTGATTTAGATTAAAATTGGTGTCAAATTTAAAAAAAAAAAAAGCACGTCTGAAGTTTTTCACCGACTGACATGTTTTTCCACTACCTTGCCTTTACTCAGCTCTCAAGGCCTAATTAAAACGTCACTTCTATTGTATCTTTCCTGAACCAACTAGGCCAAAATGGTTGGTCCATCCTTGTCCTCTCCTAGAAGGTTCTACTTGTTTTGTGTTTATTGGGTTATGGAAAAGATTCTTGAGGTTCAAGGTCTCTTCTTATATTTGAATGTCCAGTTCCTGGCATCTAGTAGTTGGCGGAGTAAATGAAAGTGAATTCTTCCAGCTCTTCTGGTGCTGTCCTCACTGATCATCCCTCATGTGATCAGCCTCATGGAAGCAGGAGGTTTCTATCAGCCATAAAGTTGAATGTAATGATCTGGTCCCTGCAGAATTCTCTACCTTTCTGCTTCACATTTCTTATGACTTGAGAAACTGACTTTGCTGCACCCAGCAGCTTGTCAATGGAGAGAGGAGGAATCATAGATAAGGGATAAAGACTATGCCTACAGATTAGCTGCCCTTCACTAGAAAAGGGAGGCTGCTGGGGAGACCCAGAAGCTACTGCTAACATTTTGAGGCTGGTATGAGTCACTGATTCTCAAGTTCTTTCTGATATAAAATGAAAAGGCAAGTTTGTTGGTTTTTTCCTTTTTCAAGATGGTGGCTTTGTAATTGGAGTTGCTATTATGAAGTAGAACTATCCCAAGGAGAAAATTATGAAGTTAATTTATATTCCCTAGATAAGAAAACCAGAAATAATACCCTGCAACAAGAGGGGTCACTTGCACAACAGTCTCTCCCATGTGTGGACAGTGCTGATAATATTGGGTAATCAAATCCCCGATGAAGAACTTTCTGCTGTGACATCTTTGATTCTGTGAGGCAGCCATGAGTTCAGGGAGTAAAAGTACTGGTCTTGGTGATAAAACACTAACTCTACCACTCATTGTCATGTCAAGTCAAATTCTCTGCATTTGCTCATAGTGAAACCCAGTATCTACTGCATAACTTCGTTATAAAGATTGAATTTTTTTAAAAAAGATGTAGGGCCAAGCCCGTGGTGCACTCGGGAGAGTGCGGCACTGGGAGCGCAGCAGTGCTCCTGCCGCGGGTTCGGATCCTATATAGGGATGACCGACGCGCTCACAGCGCTCACTGGCTGAGCACTGTACGGCCGGTCTCAAAAAAAAAAAAAAGACGTAAAAGCGCTTTGTCAAAATTAAAATGTTATGAAAATAATAGGTGTTATAGTTCTGAGAGTATTTCTGGCTCAAGGACCAGGATTATTAGTAGAACCACTGACTACCCCACCTTCCTTTGATGATCAGACCTGACAATAGCTACTGTTCAACCAATTCACATTACACAATTATTGGATCATGTTTCTGAGCTACCAATGTTTATAAGGCTCAACCTTTCCAAAGAGCTATCAGTTAGCGTTTTGATGCTTGCGTCTTTATCCAAAACACTGTATTTGTCCTGTATCTTTGTGCTGTTCTTGCATAGCATACTCTAGTCCACCATTAGCAAGCAGCCATGTAGTAATGGTGGCTGCACATTAATTCACATGCACTGTGCTCAGTCATTTTGGAAATGAGTGTTAAAATATCCTAACCCAGGTAATAGTGTGAAATAGGAGAACTTTAGCCTTCCCGCTTCACTTTTCTATCTACCTCAACTCCCTGGATAATACTTCTCTTAACTCTCCTCAGAAAACCAATATTTTGATATTTTCTCCTTCCTCCTTCTATATGTATCCCAGGGTGTGAGTTCACTGGGAATTAAAGGCCTTAAGTAGAAGCAAGAATGGGTAAAGATATTGGCCAAAGAATGAGGAATTTAATTTTGGATAGCAGGTCTTCTTAATGCCCCCGAAGCCCCTCCTAAAATGGGGAGCCCTTTGGGGAAATGCCTTCTTCCACCTGTTTGTTAGACAACTGGCCCAAGCAGACTGACACTGGCAGACAATAAACCCAGTGTAAAAAATTGAACTCATATTCTCATTCATACTAAACCAACCCAAACCCATTATATTCTGTCACCAAATAAGTAATTTGGATATTTTGGTACCATAATAACCATATTGTCCAGATGACCTTATCCAAGGGAGCAGCTGTTTTCCATGTGAACACAATGCCTTTTAACTAGTGACAGGTGATTATTGTTTAAATGAGGTCTGGGCACCCTATTGTCAACTACAAGAATCTAGATAACATCAATGAAGGCAAAATGGTTTCCGCTGAATGTGCCTTTAGAAAAGGTTTAGGAGTCAATTTGTTCAACAGCCACTGTCTGGTCGTACTGTCAGCAGGATAAAATTCAATGGTTCTACCCATCATCTATTTTTACCAGATAGCTTAGCCCATCTCTTGGTTTAGACCTGTAAAAATCTTAAAACTTTTGTGATTTAACAAATGCATTTTATTGGGAGCCAGTGCCCTTTGAAAATCCCTTTAGAAGAAACACATTCTGGCATCCTGCTCTTGATAAGACTTGAATATCGATAACATGTCAAATCCATTCTCCTCATTTGTACATACTAAACTGAAAATGGCAGCTTTTACGTAAAACATCTGCTTGTGAATTCACTAGCTCAACTACTATAAACAAAGCACATTTATTTATTTTCCCTTAAAATTGCAATTTCACAACACATTTTATTGGAGATTCACTTTCCTGTCCTTCTTCCTAAAACCTTTATGAGTTTTTGACCTGGGGAGAAGAGAAAGGTGTTTTGCTTGTTAGGTAATCTAGTAATTGGGTTTTACTTATGACTTCATTTAAAACATAAATACAGCATATTTTGTTTATTTTATTGCTCTTTTTTGGAGGTAGTTGATAGAATCTTTTGAGATTAAAATCCTAAAATCTAATATTTGAGGTAGTATTAAAATTTGACCCAATTTTGTTGTTTACCTTTTAGTCCTTGGTTTTTTATTTTTCTCCTTTCCTAAGGCAGTGGAAATAAAACACTACACTAACAGGTCTAGCTCTTTCTTGCTTTACTTATTCCTTAAAGGGAGTAAATAGTCCTCAGTTTCTACTTACAAACTACTTTCTATATTCCATTCTAACTTACTAACCTCAGTTTTCCTGTCTGGACATAACCGTCAAGTATAAATATCAAGAACCCACCTTCTAATCTTTCTTTTCCATGTATTTGCAGATAGATAGCATCAGCCCCTCAAACTTCATTCCCAAAGGAAACTTATCTATTCTCTTCCCAAACCCCCTAATATCTCTATTTCTAGCCATTTTCCCAAGCATGCAGACTATAGGGTTTAGTTTTCACCACTCCTTACATCCCCTAAAGCTTTGCTGCTCAAAATGTCCAAGGG